GGGAGTTTTACGCCTTTAGGAGCTTTGCTAATAGAGTTTTATACTGCAGGAGTTGATTAGCCCCGTTGAACTCCCGTCGTGCAAAACCTACCGGGAAACCTAGCTGAGTCGGTCGGCGAAGAGCTTCTGCAGCCCCGAAGAGAACCAGCCCTAACCACGATAGACTGGACAGCAGGCTTGTTATGCCATTTCCTCATCGTCAGACAATACCAATTTATCCAAATCTCCTGCCATAATCTGTCTATTTGGCCAATTTCCTCTTTTTAAGGCCACTTCCCGAAGCCTGGTAGAGGCTACAGAGAGGCACATGATGAATATCATCACGATGTGTTAGCGATGAAGGTGTCGGATCCGAGGGGCACTAGCGCCCCCTACCGTTCTCAGCTATGTGTGCATCTGGCGTGCATTACAGTTTAGCCCAACGCCACAGAAAGGTACCGGCAACAGACGACCATTTCCAGCCCTCCATTGGAATATATGGTAAACAACTAATTATAGAACTGAGCTGTCAAAAATCACCTACTTGATGTTCAACTATAATAATTGCAAACTCACATTGACAGGGTAGTCCAACCTCCAAATTGTCCACTTAGTCCAAGAATCACTTTTTTTTAACTGGCGAAAATATACGATAGACGGGAACACTGAGAGCACTCTGAACACTCTGACCCCCTGTACACCACCAAAACATAACAAGATGGCATTACTTTTAGAGCTCTACCGGGCAACCAAAACAAGACTAAAAGCCGAGTTTTGTTTTGTCAACAAAATAGAAAGAGAAATAAATATCCAGCTTGAAAATGCCAGCATTTATCCAACACATACTAAGAAAAGGGCTGTTTTCTGTTGGTTTGGATGCACTCACCATTGGGTACTCTTTGCCGTACCACAACATGGAGCTGCAACATTGGACGGCCTTATCATGCAAATTAATATTGTATAGTGAAGCGTATTGCAATTGGAGAAGGTACGAATAGACTCATATGTGCCTAATAGACCCACAAGTCACCTTGACACTCTACCTGCCACGTACAATGAGTGGAGATTTCGATCACCTATATAGCTACATAATGGGCGCTTGTACGGCGGAGGCTATCTACACCTGAGATAAACTAACATCAACACCTTCCTTCCCTTGCTCGGGAGGCTCTCTACCGCGCAAAATGAACTTACTTTGAACTGATAAAAACCCGGGAATATCCGTTGTGTTACTGATAACGACGAATCTGTGTGGACGTACCTCACTCGTCTTTTCCTTAACAGTCTTGTCAATCTCTTCTTACAGAATGGAAATAACTAGTTGCCGCTGAAGTGTTCTATGCAGTTTGACTATATTGCTCCCAGGGTAATTTATTGCGTAGCTTATCGGTTTGAACGAAAGGGAGAGATAACTCTAGTACATGCCCTGACTTCAACTTTGCAAGTCTCGTCAGATTTGCTTTCGTGATCGTACGTGACCAAAACAGGTGGTTATCATCAGGGTAAAATACTTTGTAAAGGGAACTTGAGATTAGATTTACATGATTTTAACACGCGCTGCATCCTTCAGTTAGATGCTAACAATGAATAATACACAATGTCATGGGTTATCTTAAAGGCACCCAATGCAATTTCAGGGTGGCACAACTGGATTTTTAAAGTCACTTTCTGGGTATTCTTTTAATGTAGTAAGTTCAATCAACCATAGCGTACTGACACCTGTGAAGAAGAAATGCGATGCCGGTTGCTTGTTCTGTTTTGTATCGTATAGGCTGGTTCTAGTTATTTATGGGTGGTACCCAAAAATACACCCATCACGTATAGTTTGTTTTTGGACTGTTAAACGCTTTATAAATAAGGAATGATGACTAAAATGTGCTAAGAAATGGCAGTAATTGTCAATATCAGACAGATTTCCCCATCCAGAATATTTTATAGTTTTGCCGCCCTGAAATTGCCTCCTTGGAAGAGTTTAAGGGACCATATGAACGCCCATTCTGACTCACGGACACTCAGAGTCTCAGGTTTGTATTCTATACACGTTTCAACATAACTGGTCTCTCATGAGCCAGATTCATTTTTTACCACCGCAAATTGATAATTCTATCTTCTTTATGAACTGTTTGGTAAATTGGTAAGATTTTAACTGTTGGAACGTGCTGTTCTTTCACGACCATATTACCTACCACGTAACCTAAGGTTAACAATTCATGATATCATTCTGATGGGTTTTGTCATTTTATTTGTACAAATACTTTTACATCGTCACAAAAATACAACATGTAAGGCATGATACAATACAGCATACCATATTTTCAACATCTATTAAGAATGACTTTACAGTCGACAAGGCCATGCGGTAGTTAACATCATCAGAGATTCTTTGAACGAAATGAAAGCGCATTGATTGCTGCAGTTCGGAGAAAGAACAATAGGTGGTGCCCATTGATGTTAGCCACTCAGATACCTAATACTCGGTATCTCAATTGACATTGCCTTCGTTATATATGTATATACCATAACGTTTTCACAAAACATTGACGCTACGCTACGGTATGGGATACAGAAATGTATTAATTATAGGCATCCAATGCAATTTCTGGGCGGCAAAACAAAAAATTCTGGATACTGACACTGATACTGACATCAACTGTCATTTATAGCACATTTTCATCATACTTGAAGCATTCGAAATAGCCCAAAAACAAGCTACGTAAGGTATCTCTTTACTTTTTGGGTACCATTCTACGATACAAAACAAGCAATTGCAACCATTTTCCGTCAATGACATCACATTTTTGCCTTACAGATATCAGTCTGCTATGGGATAATGTGGATTCAACTTCAGCTTTCCTGCCCTAAAATTGCATTGCATGCCTTTAACATTTTATTCATGTAATAAATAGATAAGCACGGATATCTACAGCAGACGTTGGATTGAACATCTTTTGAATGATACCTGTTTGTTTCAAACGAAGACTCCGATACGGCATATACAATGAAGCTATATCCATTTCACATACTCATATAGATAACAAAGAATTAGTAGATAATACTAAGGACAAAATCGTTTCGGCACGAGCACAGAAGTCACAGATTTAACGTATAGTTGATTTAAAAGACATCTACACAAGCATAATACATGTGAACATTTGACATAACCAAAAAGCCATGATAACAACAATCTTATGCTTGAACATGAAACAGCAGAAAACATAGATTTAGATTTCTTCGTGTACAAGATCAACTGAATATTTCACGACAAGCCACGACTAGGATAGACCCACTACACTACATTGCCTTTCTATACAGGACTTCATATAAACATTTACGTGACGTCACCGTAATATTACTTATGGGCCACTAAAGAGCCTGTCAATTCCCATTCCCAGGATGCATTGGGACAGGGGGTCGATATAGGACCTTCTGTTGACGTTATACTGTTTTCCTGTGTGTTTAAAGACTTGTAGCAGTTTTTGTTCAAAATTAACTTAAGTAACTTACTACTGGTGGAATCTGATAATATATAGAATGTGAAATTCTTTTGTTTTTCTAGTAAACATGGAACTTGTGTACTCTCTACAGTGGTAACGTTGTACCTTCTGTCAGTGCTCCAAAAAAATCAGATGTTGTATATAAACATGCAACCTTCAGTATTTCAGATTCTGTCATCAACGAATGTAAAAACACCACAGGAACACAAAATTCTGACCCCCTGGTGCTATGCAAGCTGGGAATTTTTAACCCCTGACGCTTTGCATTCTGGGAATGGGAAAACTGTTGTTGCAGTACGTATAATAGTAATCTTTTAGATCTTATTAATACCCTCTATTTTCTTCGATTTATCTTTAAAAAGTGTTAGTTCGCTGAAGAGCAAAAGACGAAAAATACCAATTTTTGTTGGGAATTTCAAACAAAACTGTTGTTTCCTAAGGTTTAACATCAATGTGATATACTACATTGGTTTACTGGACGTTTGGACCCACTGCCCACCTATGTTACTGTACATGATATCGTTAGAACAGAATTTCACTCCTTCTCACCACAAATATACAAAAGTAACGCCTTTTACCGCACTGGTATTCAGTGCTGATTTCCATGGGCTGAACGAGTTTGTTCCACTTTACCGAAGCTCCTTCAGCAATGGAACTGATATGTACGAGTAGTAGTCCTGTCACAGTATTGGGGATTTGTGATGCTATTTACAGTGATCAATTTCACCTAAATTCAACTGTGTTTATAACTTGTGAGTTATGACCTGATACAGACCCAGGTCTCTTATATTCCGGCTGGCAGTGAATGTCACATCGTGCCAGGTCAGTCTACAATTCCACATTTACTTATTTATTTATTTGTTAAGAGTTAAAACTTTTGATCCAACACAAAAAAATTCTCTCACCTAGAGCTTTCGACCAGTCACTCTGGTCTTCCGCAGTAGACTGACCCAGTGAAGCTTGTCACGTGGCTTCTTTGAAGTGTGACGTCAACACTGGGTCAAAGGTATCTAGTAGACGATGTCGGCCCCAACACAGATGAACTTCCATGATATTATTTATTTATTATTATTTATTAAATCCTCAGACAGCTGGGTGGCCCATTCCATTAACACAAACGTAACGTTTCAATCACTACGCACTGTCACTGGTCTGATGTGACTTGCTTTGGTCAAGTTTGGTGGCAATTTTCACACAAATGAATACGTTACTCTTTAATGACTCTTTAATATTTCTATTTGACATGACATACATGTTCCTTTACGTGGATAGACTTGTAAACAGGTAAATAGGTCGCAGGCACTACCTTAGGTAGACCGCAGAATATCCCAGGTTCACTCAAGCCAAATGGTGACTTAAAAGGCTGCCTACGCACTACACACTTCTGTTATACTAACTTCACACTGTTAAAAGAGTCGATAGAAGGATCTTATTTCTACAATTTAGTTAAATCTGTTATCATAATGAGTACAGAATGTAATATAAATCAGTCCAAGAAAATTACCACAGATTAGGGGGAGGGGGGCATTACTCAATTTGTTTTGGAAGGTCATTTGTACAAAGGGCAGGGACGATGCAAGATATTTCAGCTGGTTCGGCAGTCGGTTCGCTTGTGTGCTCGCTGATCATTCGTAAGTCTGTGTCCTGTTGAGTCGTCTCGTATGTGCTCTTGGGCAGGTCGCGTGGTTTCATGGTGTCGTGTGGGAGAATCGGGCTCTTCGGGATCGGTCGAGTGTCGAACCGACTCAACCCGAACTCGTTCCGATCCCTGGCGAAGGCGAACTCGTAGGTGCTCGGATATCTGGTGGTGGACTCGAAGCGGCTCAGCAGCTCGGTCGTTCCCGTCGTCCTTGTGGTGTGCATCCGGGATATTGTCGGTCTGCCGACCGTCATGCCTCGCGCCTCCCTCTTCTTCCGAGCGGCCTCAGGAAAACAGCAGGGCAGGGACGCCTTGAACTCGCTTCTAAATTTCTCTTTGGGAAAAAAAATCACAGAAGAAAGTCTTGTCAACATAAAGCAGTGGAATGTTGTCTTATAATCTTTGACAAGAGAACAATGTTTTTTTCAAGATATTGGTAAGAAGTGGCCTGAGAAATGGACAACACTATTAAATATAAGCCCGGGTCACACACACAGAACATTTCCACGATTACCAACCAACTAAGGTTGGCTAAAGTTTGAGAGCATGCAGTCTGACCAGACCTGAACTTGACCCAATCACTGCTGACCTACTCCAAAACGCCAGTCAAGCATGACCAAACATCCCGTCCCCCTGAATGTATAAAACATTTTGAAACATTCGACTGGCGCAGCAGAACAATAGCCGACCTGGCTGAACACCAGCCGACCTTGCTCCATATTTACTCCTTACCATGGTTGGTGTGGGAGGGGGGTGGATGTATCAGCAGTGTTCGGGAGTCTACACAAACACATGTTTGGTATACAGTTTTGCTGATGTATCTCACCACTCATGAAGTTGTAGATGAGCGGGTTGATGGCGCTGTTCAGGTACAGGAGCCAGTGGGACACCATGAAGGCGGCGTACACACCCTGTCTGTTGTTCGTGACGTCGAAGAACCCGTACACTCTGTCACAAACAAACAAACAATATTAGTTTTTACTGAATAAGGTATTCAATCCGTCATTACCTCCATGAAAAATGGAAGTATTGCTTTTGGTAAGTGTGTGTGTGTCCGTGTATGTGTCTATGTTTCCGCATGGCCCTCAGGTCAGATTGTAATAGATAAGGTTGGGTTCAGTCTGTCCCAGAGAAAGTCCTTAATCACGTCTACCTCTGCTAGCGCTTGCTGCTTTCGCATGTGTTTATGTTACATGACCTCCTTGAAAGCTGACAGTTGGGGTTGTTTCCAGTGCAAGTTAAATAAAGAGTTGTAGACACCTTGGCGAATGAGAAGGGGACACAGTCATAATTACACAAATTCTATATTTTATGGAGGTCTGATCGAGTCTTCGAATTCTTCTTGGTACAATGTGAAACTACCACACTTGCAGAAAGTGCATCTTCGAGTTCGAGTCCTGACGTGCCACTGATCTTGTGCCCTTGGGAAACTTTCCTCAAGTGAAAATGAGTATTGACCTGTACTGTATTTGTCCTCTTCGTTGGTGGCGGCATAAAATAAGTGGAAACAACTTGAGTGTGCCGTCTTGTAATGAAATGTTGGAATAAAACAAAGGTGCATAGCAAAGTATATTACCCTACCTTTTCAGGAAGGTGAGGATCATGAGCGGGATGTAGCAGATCGCGAACACGACCACCACGGCCACCAGCATGCGCGCCACCTTGCGGCGGGACTGCACCGTGTTCTCAGCCGTCTTGTCGGCGATGGAGCCAGTTCCCGAGTGGAAGGACGACGAGGCCGTCACGACGGTTGCCGCGGCCGAAGATGACGTCGACAGCACGATGTTGTCCGAGGTGGAGCGGCTGACCGGGGTCTTGATGCGCTGGGAGTCGCTGGAGCGGCTGGGAGCTCGCAGGCTGGTGGAACTCGAGATGCCTTAGGGTAAAAAAGAGCGGATTCCACAAGACATTAAGAGGAAAGGAAAACAATTGGAGAGAAACCTGACCAACATGTGCTTGACTCTGTTGTTTATGGAACCATGGGGGTAGAATTGAAATTCTACCTCCATGATGGAACAGGACAAAATCATTCTTTAAAAAAAACAGTATAAAAAAAGGTTTTGCGATGAAGCTGGTAAAAGAATCTGACACGTATATACCGATCTATGAATAAAATTATAATGGCTGATGAAGTAGTAGTTTATATGGAGATTAAAATGTATGGGAAACAGAAGCAAGCAGATCCAATGGAGTATTCACCATTTCCCATTCCCAGGATGCATATATATATAGCGCCAGGAGTAACAATTCCCAGGATTCATAGCGCCAGGGGTAACAATTCCCAGGATGCATAGCACCAGGGGGTCGGAATCATGTGTTCCCGTGGTGTTTTTACATTCGTTGATGACAGAATCTAAAATAATGAAGGTTCTCCTTAAATGTTTACATAATACAACATCTGTTGAATTATTTCAAGTAATAGTAATTCCTTTTCTATTAACAGACGGTATGATAATAATGTTACCACTGTATAGAGTGATGTTATAAACCTTATGTTCAATTTCTACTATAAAAACACAAGAATGTCACATTCTATTTCTTGTCAAATCCGACCCGTAGTAAGTCACTGGACGTTATAAGCTGTAAACTGTCAACAGATCATCATCATTTCGGTTCGGTAAGTGAACTATTGCCCTCATCTGTAATGGTGGCGTACGCATATGAGTATCTCAACTATCGAAAGTCTATTGGCTCTCAAAAAAATCTGTTGACATTCAAATGTCAACAGAAGGTTGACATTACACAGCTTATAATATCGACCCCTGGCGCTATGCTTCCCGGGATTGGGGAAAGGTGCATTGACAGGCTCTTTAGTGGCCTATAACCTTGTAATGTTGCGGTGCAATCTGGGGATTTTTAACCCTGACGCTATGCATCCTGAGAAATGGATGGATTGGATCATGTGGCATTGGATGGTAATCAATAATGTCAAAAAAGCGTCACAATCACTCTTTCAAAACAACTACAAATTTCCTGACAGTACTAAGGAAGACTGTAGTCATCTCACGAAAAAAAAAACCTAATCAAAATTACCTTCGCATATGGTCTGCTCTGTTAATCCTTACTCAAACACATTCATATATATGGTGGCATAAGTCCCTCCTGCTATAAAATTGCAACATGACGTAACCTAACACTAGTTACCATGGTGACAGACACCTGGTTCAGGTCATTTGTTTGGAGAAGAAGAGGAAGAAGAAACAGAGCAAAAACAATATGTTTTCCTTCTGCGAAGGTAAACGTAAAAAGAAAGGTCATTTGAAATAAAAAAGAACTGAACTGAACTGAACTCCAATAGATAAGATAGACACGACGAAACTTTGGGTCTATAAGGCAAAACCAGACCTCCTTTTCGTTTCCTGTAGCGAACTACTTCGCCACCAGCAACTCGCATAGCAAGCATCACTGTGCGATAGAACGGAGAGCAGGGTTAGTACTCACACACAGCAACACACTCACTCTGGGAGAGGTCATTTCTAAAGCACATGTGTAGGTTGTCGTCTGAGTTCCATTATATTTACATGTTCATTACAGCTTGCGATCAACAAAAGTTTACCAACAGAAGCAATTAAACAAAGCAGAACAATTTGACAGCATATAGGATTCTAGCAAGAATTGTTTTCTCGCTTACAATATTGACTACATGCAAAATGGTGGGACATTTTTTTGGGGGTGGGGGTGGAAGCATTTTGGCATTGAAGATCGTCACACATTCATAACCTTCCCCTCAACACCAGCAGCCGACCAAGGACTGTTCAGATTTAGGTCACTTTACTATGCGAATCGAATCTGAGTTAAATTTGAGTCAAATTTGACTGCCAACCATGGCTAAACCTCCCGTCCACACTCGATTGTTTTGAAACATTTTGAAACATTCGGCTGGCGCAGCCGAACAGTAGCCAACCTGGCCGAACACCAGCTGCAGCCAACCTTGCTCCCAACCTACTCCTAACCATGGTTGGGGGGGAGTTTGGCTAGTGTTCGGGAGGCCATATTCAGCTATGTGTGACGGGGGACGTTACCACATACCTGGCACCTGGTCGCTCCAGAGTTTCCACACGATCATACAGTAGGACACCATCATGAGGACGATCGGGATCCCAAACAGCACCATCACGATCGCGGCGTGGTAGATCTTTCCGTAAATGGGATCTAGTTATGAAGTCAGACAACAGATTTATTTCGTTAGTGTGAAGAGAATGTCGCTGTAAAGAAACATTATCTTGGAAGTTCATCTGTGTTGGTACAAGGGCATTATACTGTATAATGTCCTTGGTTGGTAAAAGTTATTATGAAGCAAATTTAAACTGTAATTTCCAATACAAGAAATTGGACTTACACTTTTCAACTGTACAACTAGTCTTGAACTGTCTTGTAAATGATTGTACTTACCTTCACACCGAGTACATAATATTTCATTTAAATTTCAAAATTTCATGTAAAGCCTTTTATCCTTAATCGCATTTTTGAAATTTCGTAATTTGTATCTGCTCTGTGTGTTTTCTGCAGTATGATTGACTCAACTTACTTTGTAAAGAATTGACCAGGAAATTGACTTTTGTATCGTCCTAATGTTTCATAACGCAGCTACAGTATGACTCCTACATTTCGCAATGTCGTATCATTATGATAGTAAACCTGTGCGTGGTGTAAACTGTAGATCTATCCACCTCTTGAAATTGACAACCATTGGAAGTCTTAAACAAGTCTCAATCGTTTCCTTTTTGATGTGACACGGTTGACATTTAATTTCACGCCAACTGCGTCGCCAATCTTCCGAGACGACTTAAGAATATTGGTTAGGCTATGATTGCCTAAAACCCCAGGGAATCTCCAATTAGTCCACATCAAGTAATTTTTATGGATGACATCAGCGCGCATTAATTTTCGCCTGATTTTGGAAAATAAACAAGAAATTTTGTTGCCTTCTTACAATGGTCAACTTGCCGAAAATGGGAAAAGATGTCTGTTGCCATGCCGGAAGGTGGATGGCAGATAACTATGAAGAGAGGAGACAAGAAAAGGCTCATTTTGATTCTTAATTTAATGCAGTGATACGTGATGCTGGCTGTGCTTATGTGATGTTCCCTATGTATAAAAACCATTTGTACAATGATTGAGTCAAAATTTTAAAATGTAGGAACCTTGTTTTTTTCAGCCCGTCTTGTTTTTTTTCGCCCGCTCGCATTAGATTTGGAGTCTGCGGAGGATGTCATCCATATAATTAACCTGCTGTGGCCGTAGTAGTTAACGGTCTCCCAGGGCAGCTGGCTTCGTGTAATGACAAATATTGTTGACATTGTTGCTCGTTAGAGAAATTACTTCGCAGCCGCATGGTCGATTTGAAGAAAACGGTAATTTTCGGCAACATCAGGACCATCAGGCTCAGATCCATACAGATTAGGAATGCTCTCGAATTTTTTCCTGCGACTTTAAGATCATAAACATCTACAATTTCTGTTTTTCGCTCAGTGAAATCCTTTTTTCCACAAGAATAAAGCTGAAGGATTCTAGATCAATTGACATTGAGGTACACTGAGGAGGGTTAAATGATTAAATCTCCTTGATGTACGTTTATGAACTGATACCATCTTATAGGCTTCTAATGCAATTTCCCCGTACATGATGAAATCTGTCTGATGTTGAAATTTCTGCCATTTCTAAAACAAGCAGCCGTTTTCCGTCGGTGACATCGCATTTTTGCCTCACAGATATCAGTATGCCGTGGGATAGGATTGATTCAACTTCCAATGCAATATCAGGTCGGCAAAACTAGAAATATTTTGAATGAGGCAATCTGTATGATATTGACACATACTGTAACACATCAGCACACGTCAGCATTTCATACTTTAGGCAATTAAAACTGCAGAAACAATCCCCAAGATGAGTCCTTTATTTTCAGGGTGGTACCCTAAAAATCAATTCAGGTCCTTCCAGTAACTGTTTTTTTCGTCAGAATTTTGGGGATTTTTGCTCCATGAGTGTCGTTGTACATTGGGACATTGTTGTTTCAGCTTAGTATGTACATAAGTAACCAAAATATCGACTTGAAAAATCTGGTTTCCAAGCCTTTTAAAAGCACGGATGACTTTAAAGGAATGACCAGAAAATTGACTTTGAAACTCCAAGTTTTGCCAATCTAAAATTGCCTTTTGATGCCTTTAGATAAAGATATAAGGTATTCCGAGTGCAGAATATAGACGTCGTGTTGAATAATAACAAGACTTGGACTGCTTCTGCCAGAAAACTGCCCCGAGGTTTTTCACGATCTGCCATCACGACTCTCTTTGAACCTATCCGCGGCAGAGCTTCAACTCTGATTGAGGAAGAAACTCAACCATCAATCCGTTCTAAGAATCCCACTGCGTCCGTGCGCGGATTGAATCGCTGACGTATGAACAAGCGGAAAGGGCAATACAAATCTCAAAAGAGAGCTTTGCTAAATTTGAGTTGAATGGGAGAGATTATGGAAACGACTGCGTTGCAATTTCCTTGACATCAGAGCAGCGGCCATCTGAATGATGTGAATCATAAAGGAGATGATTCACGTTTAGACGGGGCTGATCCTCTGTGTATATGTTCTTATGCATGACGGAAGTAGAAATATATAGACATATGGACACAACAAGTAAATTCTATGGATGACATCCACCACAGACTTCAAATCTAATGCGATAGGGCGAAAAAAAACAAGGCGGGCCAAAAAAAAACAAGATTCCTACATCTTAAAATATAACATATACACAGCCACCATCACGTATAAAAGGAACGAAATACATCACTACATTAAAGTAAAAGACAAAACATTAACTCAGAGCCTCGTCTTGTCTCCTCTCTTCATATTCATCTGCCATCCACGTTCTGGCATGGCAACAGACATCTTTGCCCATTATTTTCGGCATGTTGACCAATGTCAGATGACATGCAACAATTTTCCCCCAAATCAGGTGAAAATTAATGCGCGCGCTGAAGTCATCTATAAAAATTACTTGCTGTGGCCTATATAAAACATCAACACTCGTTTGGAAAAAGTGTGTAACCGTTTTGTCACCATAATTTACCGTGAACTGCCTGGGCATACTCCCCCTACGTGTAGGTTAAAGGTGCCCAATCCAGTTTTTAGGGCTTGATCATGAAAACCAGATTATCTAAATTCAATATTCTTGTCACTTATCTACCTACTAAGTTGAAACAACACCGTCCCAATGTATAGCGACATTCACTGGAGCAAGATGCCGAAAATTGTGACTGAAAACGAATTACTGGTAAGATCCTCGATTGATTTTTGTGGTACCACCCAGAAAATAGCACCCCCATTAATTCACCATATAGAGAACTCCAGGTGATATAATGGGATAGAATATCAGGCTACCTATAGCTACCCCATGTAAAAATAGATAGCACGTTTTTTGATGGACAATACTTTTCAGTACTAAATAAATGGGATAGATACCCAAAGCTAAATAAATGGGATAGATAACCATTGTTACTGTTTATTCTACCCACAAGTATTCAACTAGATTTTCCAATTCTTGCAGTTTCAAACTACCTAAACCAAAAACAAAAAGCAAAAAGCGAACATTTCTCTACCGCGCCATTAATCTATGGAACACCCTGCCACCCAGTATCAAAACACTGACCAGTCTGCATCAATTGAAAAAGGCCATCCACCAGTTGTACATAAGTTACAGTAAGTTGTATATATTAAGTTAAGTCATGATCGTTTTGTTTAACCTGTGTATAATTTGTGATGATTATGTATGTTCATTCTCTTTTATTTTGTTGTCAGTATATTCATATGTTTTGAATCCTGGAAGACTAGTCGTCATGGACTAAAGGGTATCGAAATAAACGAATAAACGAGCTGACATGTGGGCATCCTGACCTGGCCAGTGCTCGTCGCACACCGTCATGAGGTCTGTCTTGTGTTCCGGGTAGAAGCGGCTGGTTTTGTACATGGGCACCAGCGGGGCCATGATGCTTAGCGACACCACCCAGATCAGGCAGATGATGGTGCGCGCACGCGCGTTGGTGCTCTTGAACTTCAGAGGATGGACGATGGCGTACCAGCGCTCTACTGCGATTGCGCAAAGGGTCAGGACCGAAACGGACACGGACACCATCTACATGAACAGAAAACGAAATTCGTTCACCTTAAGTAGTTTTTAAGATGTTTGTGTTGTACATGTAAGATGACACAATATTGTACAGCTTCCAAGTGAATTGCTAATCTCCTACAAGATCTTTTGGTGACTGCAAAGACAATGTTAACCCTTGTCCTGCTGGCATTTTTTACACAATATTTTTACACCAATATGACCAATCTCTTCAAAACGTAATCTCGCGAGAGTTACGGTGACGGATACGTGACCTTATTTATGTATCATCAGTAAAGTCTCGTGTGAATAAGGTCACGTGTCTAGTAACCGTAACTCTCGCGAGATTACGTTTTTGAAGTGATTGTTCATTCATTATCCTGATGAAGGCGACAGTGGTCGTTGAAAATTTGATCTGTGTAACTTTGTGCTGGAATAATGTTCAACATTTTGCTATAACCGACTTCTATTTAGGTGTGGAAAACGTTTACTTACCTGTAAGTAGGGTATGATCTTGCACATGGTCTCTCCGAAGAACCATGTCTCCATGATGTCCACCACCAGGGTGGGCGGCAGACAGATGATGGTGACCAGCAGGTCCCCTGCCGACAGGTTCGCGATGAAATAGTTCGTCACCGTCCGCATGTGGCTGTTCCTGGCCACCACGAAGCAAACTGCAGAAAACAAGGCCGAAACGGAAAGAACTATATAGAAACTGGTAACATTTCCAAAGCAAATGCATAATGTTTACCTTCGCTCTGCTCTGTTATTTCTTACTCAAACACATTCATATATATGGTGACAGGAGTCTCAACCCCTCCTGCTATAAAATTGCAACATGATGTAACCCAACACTAGTTACCATGGTAACAGAAAGTCTGGTTCAGGTCATTGACCTTTCTGGTTTGGAGAGGAAGAGGAAGAAAAAGAGAGCAAAGACAGTATGTTTTACTTTGGTAAACATGACAAGAATTCCGAGCTAGGAAAACATTAAACACAGGTTTAAGATTTGCTCTTTCTTACCCAACAAATTTCCTGTTGGTGCAAAATCTGCATCAAGGCAAAAATACACGGAGAAATTGCACTAAAATTGTCTAATTTCAGGTCATGATATCGATAGGGGCAAGGTACATTCTCGGCTCAAAAAGCCACTGAAGGGGGTGAGGGGAAATACAAACTCAGCCACGTTTGGGATGGTTTTCTCGCCGAAAAAGCGCCACCTACATTACCTACAAATAGCGGCGAGAAGCTCTGAGGAAAATGTCAGACGACATCGAAACGTAGGCAGGTAAGAAACATTACCGGTAACATAAAGAGAAAATCCCTATATCTTAAGAATTTTGAGATATCTCAGACCTCCATGAAATGTTTACAAATTTAGATCTTGTGTGATAGTAACTGTGTCCTCTTCTCATTGACCATGGTGTCTACACATCTTTCTTTATCGTATAAGAGAAACAACACCAGCTGTCAAGGAGATCATGTAGCCGATTTTGTCGAACACCAGCCGACTTGGCGCCGACGTACTCCTAACCATGGTTGTGGGGAGTCTGGCTAGTGTTCGGCAGTCCAAAGTCATGATTGTGTGTGAAGAAGGAGAAGTTGAGTGATGTTTTACGTCTTTCCATTCTATAGATCCTGCTAAACCACGGTGAGTCAGTGACCGGTACTTTTACGGTCTGACACATAGAGCCAAGAAACTCTAGTAAGACCAGGAATCAACTCTGTAGCGTCTGGCTCCTTCAACTTCAAGAAAGTCCACGATTCTAAAGAAATGACTTGCCGTTAGGCAGAAGTGCACATTGCCGAGTTCAAAGCACGCCTGTATTTTATGTCCACATTTCAGACGATTATCGTTAACGCCGGCGGTGATAACGTGCAGCTTTTCGTCTTTCCGGCAACTTACCGGAAGTCTCTTTTTCGTGTTTCATTTCGTTTTACGGTGATCTGTACGTGTGACATGTTAAACCTGACTCCATGTACGCTATCTGAGCCCCCCTCGGGATGGCTATTAGCCGTATGTTTGAGGTGCTCGCTATATCTATAACATGTCACTTGTCTGCAAAGTTTAGTTCTAGAAAACACTTGTGAGTGCAACCAAGGACACATCGTCATGGAGTAAGGCCATGTTGATTTGATTATATTGGTGACATCTTTAATTTCGCGCGCACGAATTTTCGAAAGTCCGTTTCCTAAAAAAACGTTTTCTACCAAAGCGTAAAGCGTAGATATAAAGCAGCTGCAAAAATGAAGAAATGTATGCCGTAAGTTACAACAAATATTGGAAAATGATATTAACATGTTGTCGAATGCTGAAATCAATTCCAAAGGAAAGAATGTGAAGAAATGAACATGAAGTCTATTATATCCATACTATACTTTGTGTGTTTTGCCATTTTTTTCAACTTTGACGACCACGTAGATTTCATAATGAAGGCAAATTTTTTGTCAAACTTTTTCATTCGCACGCTCGCATCAGTTTCAGGGTTCCCAGAGAAGTTCAACCATATAATGAAATCAACATGGCCTTGAGAAATATTTTTATCGCGTAAACTGAGTGACCACCATACTTCAGTCAAGCCCCAGGGCATCATGTCTTTCAGCGTAAACTCCACTTTAGACAGACCCCAGGTTGATATGCCTCAAATTTCCCCGAAAAGTTCAAGTAGTGTCATATCCTCGGGCTGGAAAACTTTTAAAACCTTTTAAGAAGCTTATAGCTCCCATGATACCAATCATGGCTTCGTCTCAACAGCTACCATTATATCTTGGGGGTTTTTAACTTTGTTACCAAAGTTGAGTCTTGTAACACAAACTGATGATTGAATTTCATGTTTTGATATTGAAACTAAATCGGGACTTACACAGATTTTCAAATTTGACTCCTTCAACCTTTAACGTTAGGTACGTTACGTCAATGACACGTGACTTCACAAGGTGCGGATTAGACGTGCCAGACAACCTGAGTCGCCCCCCGTCTCGGTCTAACGTCAGTCGGTTGGCCCTGAACAGTTTGAGTGAGTCTGTTCAAATGTGATGTCTCACCTCCAGGGACCATTCACAAATGGACCCCTGTCATACGCTACATCCTAGTAAGGCCACACTAAGTAAATGTCATGGATGCCATATTCCGGAGACTCCAAAATTAATGCAAAAGGGCGAATAAAAAAGCAAGGCGGGCAACAAAACGAGATTCCTACATTTTCAAATTTTGAGATCATAAACTTTGCTATACGAGAATTGGGGCAATGAAACATGATATTACTAAGACTTTCATTCCTGAATTCGACAGCTGTCCTTGTACTGTGTATACAGAACTAGAACAAGAAATAGTACACTACACTGGGTATTCATGTACGATGAAACACCTTAGACCGTCAACACTTGTCATTAAACGCGAGCAATTGTGCGGCAAGTTTGCTGGATCCCTGGTGGTCTCTGAACCGATCGACGCTTACGCACCCATTTTCGGGATGTTGGCCACCGTTAAAGTGCAACAAATTTTCCCCCTGAAATCAGGCCACACCGATGGCTTCCATAAAAATTATTTGCTATGCCTTAAGACCTCAGAATGTGCCACAAGGATTCATGCGTGCGGAGAGACGCCAGTCACTTGGGATTTGTTCGCCATCTAACAAGCAAACCGATGGACTCATGTACCTACGTTGATGGCAGACATTGGCAAAGAGTCAGCAAGATGAATGTAATCATTAATACAGATGGGAAGTCAACTCCCGCGGCATGTTTGATAGAAAATCCGCCGTATATATCATGATCATCACCCTTGTGACAAGCTCTGCCATATTATTAGGACAGAATGCATCAGTGCAATGAGTTCACAAGTCAGCAATGGTTATGCATCTATTCTTACCGGATACCGAAATTTTGTTACAGTGATCCTCAAAGGCAAGGGCTTCTTTCACACTATTATGTTACAGTAAAAAATCTAATGATGGTCAGGCTTTTGTTGGGTAACGACGTTAATATTCGCCATTCTTCGAAGTACGGTTAGAATTCGAATCGGCCCATGACCATTATTAGGTCACAGCAAGTAAAGTTTATGGATGACATTCTCCGCAGACTCCACATCTAATGCGATAGGGCCAAAAAACGAGGGCTGGCCAAGAAAAACAAGGTTCCTACATTTTTAGATTTCGACATCATAAACCCTGTTAAACGTGAAATGATACTTATATTGTGCTAAGCTTACTGTCAACTATTACAACATCCATTTCTCACTGAAAAAAACTTTGAAAAATAAAAGTTTTTAATCTTTGTTCAAATGGTTTTGATTCAGCAAGAACATCCATATAAAAGGAATGAAATACATCACTGCACCAAAGACAAAACATTAAATCAGAGGCTTGTCCCGTCTCCTCTCTTCATATTTATCTGCCATCCACGTTCCGACATGACAACTGACATCTTCGCCAACTTTCAACATGTTATCCACTATCAGAGGGTAACAAATTTTCTTATTTTCCCCCAAAATCAGGCGAAAATTAATGCGCGCGCTGATGTCATGAATGAAAATTACTTGCTGTGGCCTTACATTGGAATGGAAGCCATATTCACCTATAGTACATCATAGATCATCATAGATTCGATAAAACTTTGGTATGACTTTGATAGATACAATTCTACTTTGATAACTACCTAAGGAATGTAATGAATGTCTTTCTAATTTAGACTATAATCGTCTTTGAAAGTAGAGGAAGTCTCAAATGGCTTTCCTTCCTCTACCAGAGAGTTTACGGGCGCTTTGATGATTTTTATTATTAGTTTTTTTTAATATTTTAAGAGAGATTCGATCTTTCCATTACACTACTCTCTATTGTACGTCAATATGACGCCTATGTTGTCATTTTAGACCTATGTATCATATTTTTATTAGCCTAGCAGTTATTCATTATAAGTATTCGGTGCACAGTTGTCAAACTTGTACTTGTGGAGTCGTGCGGCGTAGCGGCAGAGTGCTCGACTCGGAAACAAGAGGTCCCGGGTTCGAGTCCTGACATGCCACCGATCTTGTGCCCTTGGGAAAGGCACTTTAAACGACTTTCCTCACTTCGCTCAGGCGAAAATGAGCATTGTAATTTCCCCTGTGCTGGTGGCGGCATTAATATAAGTTGAAAAAAATTGGGCTGTGCCGTCACCACGTCTTGTGATTAGATGTTGGAATGTAAAAAAAAGTTAATTTGTTGACTTTTACAGGCCGTACCTCTGTACTTGTACCTGTACCCGATGTCACGTTATCGAACATTTGAACATTTGGTATTTGACATTTCGCGGTGATCCTAAGTACCAGAGAGTGGTCACGAGCTGCGAGGAAAGACGACGCGGCGCTGGGTTGTGGGCGATTCGCTCTCGGTAATGTGCCTGAGACGTCCCTACCGTAGACCGCAAAATACCAGGCAAATCCCTTGTCATCTGCTGTCCTTTGAAAGACATTCATGCACTTTTAAGCCGCAAAACAACAACAAAAACTACAAAGGTAAGATTTGCAAAGCAAATGCATAATGTTTACCTACACACATGGTCTGCTCTGTTTAATTCGTACTGAAACACATTCATATATATGGTCAGGAGTCTAAATCCCTCCTGCTATAAAATTGCAACACGATGTAACCCAAAACTAGTTACCATGGTGACAGACGTCTGGTTCAGGTCATTGACCTTATTTGTTTGGAAAAGAACAGAAAGAGGAAGAAGAAACAGAGCAAAACAATATGTTATCCTTCTGCGAAGGTAAACAGGAGGAAGAAGAAACACAGAAGGTAAACATTAGATTATTCTGGATAAGGAAATCTGCCTGATATTGACATTTACTTGACATTTTCGTCAAATAACTTTGCTTCAAATAACCCCCAAACAAGTGACGTGTACGTGAGGAATACCTTTACTTTTGGGGTACCCCTAATAAATTTTAAGAACCAGCATACGATACGAAAAAACAATCGTTTTCCGTCAGAGGCATCGCAGTTTTGACACACAGATATCAGTATGCTATGGGATAAGACTGATTCAACTTATTACATTAAAAGAACAAATGATCAGTAAATTGACTTTGAAAATCCTCTGAAGCCTTGAAATTGCATTGGATGCCTTTAACAACCCTCACACATGCATGAGTCGTTTAATAATACTTTTCGCCCTTCGCATATAAAATTGACATTGATGTGTGTACTTAATACTTTATACGCTATCACTAATCAGACACTACGAACATTTGAATCAAGGTAATTAAATGGTATCTCTGGGGAGCGTTTCCTTCTTGAGACTAGCCCACACACATACAAATGACATCGTTTTCAACAGTTAGCATATATACAGCAATACATTAAGATGAATTGGTATCGTGCTATCATCGTGTAATGACAGATCTATACAGTTAGGCCACACTATCTTAATCTTATGAAAGTTTATTGCAAATTCATGCCCGCGCCCGAGGGCTAATTGCAAGAACATGATAAGAAAATAAACAGTAAAAATGATACTAATTGATGCTAATGTTACTTTGGATATAGTTGTTGTTGGGTTTAATTTCTTTTCTTTGCGCAGTGGAGTATATGAAATGGCCGACATTTTGCGAGATGTATGAATTGGAATGCGAATGCCAAGGATACAACGTTTTCTGTGGTTTGAGAGATGATCGTAACTTTTAGGTTTTGAAAAATGTGTCAATGAGACCCATAGATAGAGAGAGAGAGAGAGGCACACACACACGCACGCACACACACACACACACACACACACACACACACACATACACACACGCACGCACGCACACACACACACAAACACAACACAATTGAAGAAATGTGACTTACCGAGTCCGTTGCCAATGAGAGCCAGTAAGAAGACGAGAATGTAGCCCACGATCAGCGCCCACTCGTAGTGTTTCGGGTACAGGTAGTCCAGCAGATAGCTCTCAAAATCATAGTCAGGAGGGGTGGGCAGCAGCAGCCAGGTGGGGTACACGTCCTCGGACATGTTGAAGACCCCTTCCGTGGCCGCTGCCGTACTATTGTTGCTCATGACGATATGTGTTCACGGCCCTCTATCTTCGTTCGCCTGCACTTTGTTGTGGACTCTTTTCGTCCCGCTGTTGCCAGCCGGACATCTGGATACCTCAAGGGGAAGACAGTAAAGTCGTGAATGACTGTGGTCCTATGTAGAGACTCCATAAGGCCGTGTTGATTTGATTATATGGATGACATCCGCGCGCGCATATGATTTTTCGGCCGTTTCCAAAAGAAAAGTTTTCAACCATACTGTAAATCATACAAAACAGTTTCAAAATGAGCAAATTTATACCGTAAGTTGCAAAAAATATATATTGGAAAACGATATCAATGTCGTAGAATGCCAAAATCAAAGACGAAAAAGACGAAAATGTAAAGAAATGAATTTCAAGAGTTGATTATTCGCCATAACATACTCTGTGTCACTTGTTGAACCTTCATAACCACGTAGATTTGATAATGAAGACAACTCTTTTTCCAACTTTTATTCGCACTCTTGCGTCAGTTTTGGGGTTCCCAGAGGATGTCATCCATATAATCAAATCAACATGGCCTAAGCGTGTGCACAACTTGGGACTATCGGAGAACACTAAACCATTAGCACCGACAATACGTCAACTAGTTTCATCAAAAGATACAAGCCTGATATTTAAATCATTCATGGTCATTTGTTCACATTGACGTCGTGTACCTATGCCAGCTTTATTTTACTGGCGAGGATGATGACCAAAAGAACATTTTAGGACATTAAATTGGCATTAATGTGTACTTAATATTTCATACTTAACCATGTGCTTTGTTTTACTGGCGAGGATGATGAACATAAGAACATTTGAAAGGAAACCATGAAAGGCCTTTTTTTCTGATTTGCTTTCAAGAGGATTGTACCGATAAAATAGCAACCATCACTCTCATTGTTTATTATTATGTCTTTTTTAAAAACTAAGAATGCCATTTCTTTTGACTATCCGTCCGGCTTTTGAAATACCTGCAGATGTAAAGCAACAATTACGTTTTACTTTGGGAAGTTTTAGTTCAACTACTCCATTAGGAGACTACCTAAGCTCTCTGCTACAGAGGGATTTCCAGAACAGATGCAGAAGATGCCTCCAGTCACTGAAGATGCCGCCTTTCATTGATGTCATAACGTATAAAACGTATGTATAAATACCATGTCTGTCGTGGACCTTTATAGACGAAACGTACATACGAACATGCGAAAGCTAAGCCATCTTTCTCTGGTGATACTATCAGACTTTCAAATAAAACGATATAGAAGATGTACGTCAATAGACTCCTACTTTCAGGGTTGGTACGCTTGGTTGTGGTAAAGTCGTCAACCTTTTTATAGACAAAACGTACATCCAAACATACGGAAAGCGAAGCCATCTTTCGCTAGTGATACTATCAGACTTTCAAATAAAATGATTTACATCAATAGACTCCTACTTTCAGGGTTGGTACGCTTGGTTGTGGTACGGTCGTCAACGTTTTATAGACAAAACGTACATCCAAACATACGAGAGCTAAGCCATCTTTCTCTCTAGTGATAACTATCAGGCTTTCAAATACATCAATAGATTCCTACCTTCAGGGTTGGTACGCTTGGTTGTGGTATTACGTGGATTGCTTGTCTCCTGGGAGACTATATGTTCTAGACGACTGCCCCTCGCCTATTTTACTGTTGCCGCCGCCTTGCTGGCTGAACCGCCTGACAACTGTAGTTGGGCCAACCAGAAACACGCACTGTGAATACTAAAGGCACCCAGTGCAGTGTTTAGGGCTAGGAAACTCGATTTTTAAAAGCCAATATTTTAGTCATTTATCTACATACTGTGTTGAAACCACACTATCCCAGTGTACGAGTATATTGACCCTCATGGAGCAAAAATTCCCAAATTCTTGGCTGATTTTTAGGGTACCGCCCAGAAAATAAAGGACTCATCTTGGGGCTTGTTTCTGCAGTTTCAAATGCCCAAATTGCTGATTTAAACGTGCTTATGAGAAGCACTATGTGTAAATATTGCCTTATTCAGAAAATAAAGGACTCATCTTGGGGCTTGTTTCCGCAGTTTTAGACGCCTAAAGTATAAAATGCTGATTTAAATATACTAAATGAGAAGCAGCATGTGTAAATATTGCCTTATTCAGAAAATAAAGGACTCATCTTGGGGCTTGTTTCTGCAGTTTTAAATGCCCAAATTGCTGATTTAAACGTGCTAATGAGAAGCAGTATGTGTTAATATTGCCTTATTCAGAATATTTCCAGTTTTGCTGCCCTGAAATCCCATTGGATTACTTTAAAGGCTGGAGAAATATTACACCCTTTTCACTTTGCTGTAAACAGCTGTATGAAAGCCTCATAAACGTAGGATTGATGATGTGAATCTATCAAAACACTTTTTGATGAATAGTTTACAATATCCTGCGGATATAAAACCCTTTCATGAAATCTATATAAAAATCACACGGGGGATCGTTCGCAAAGGTGTTGGTGTGTGCTGAAACAAAATCTTTTTATTGATTTTTCAAATCTTCGGAAGATATATACGCTTAAATATAAGCCCCGTTTTTTGTCTAGTAGTGGACCCTTGATAGTACATTGATGTTACATGCATAAGTTTGCTTGTATTGAATTAGTCCCTGTTGATTTGATTATATGGATGACATCATCCGGGAACACCAAAACTGATGCGAGCGTGCCAATAAAAGAATGCTTAAAAAGTTGTCTCTTACGTGTCCAAACATACAGAGTATGGTATGGCGAATGAAAAAGAATTTCATTCTCATTTTTTCACATTTTCCTCTTTTCCTTTGGAAATGATTTTGGAATTCTACCGCATGAGTATTGTTTTCCTTTTTTTTGCAATCTATGGCATATATTTGCTCGTTTTTTTTTTTAAACGGGCAAAAATTCTTGCACGCGCGGATGCCATCCACATAATACAATCAGCATGGCCTAATTCAGGTTGAAGATTGCATGTGCCACTATGAGTATAAATAAATGCCAAAACACCTTCAGCTTTCAACCTCTTTTCTTTGTAAAGTGCGGCGGATGTTATAAGGTTTCTATCCATTAACTGCACTTGAGAACTCATTTTTGTTTCAAGGAAAATGCACTTTTCTCTCACGATAAGGATCTCCTTCCGGGTTTGAGAGTGGCAGAGTGAGTGCATTTTTAGTCTGCTGCTGAGCTTGTATAGCGAGCTTCTGAGCAAACGGCGTCGTCAAAACGATGCACCATTAGGCTTGGACATAAACAAACACCCCTCAACCGATAACAGCATAGCTCTTAATGTCGCCGGTATATAAAGTAAGTATTGCCCGTCAACGTTAGGTGTTACAACATCGTCACAAAACTGACACGAAACAAGAATTAGGAGATCTCAGATCTCCATGAAACTATGATGTTTACAAGTCAAAACTTTTTTGGAAGGGGTTGAAAATCTGTCGTAAAAGGAGGGCTCCGTTTGGAATCGTCTTTTGCAATTCTCTTCTTATTCGTGAAAAGGAAAACATCAGCTGTTAAGGAGGTCATGTAAAACAACGCGTGCTACCATCTATAATGACATTGTGATTTATGTCTTTCACCCTCTGGAACAGACTGAACCCAGTCATATTCATTACAACCTGACCTAAGGGCCGTGCGAAAACACACACACACACACACGGACACACACACAGGCACGCCAAAAACAATACCTCCATTTTTCATGGAGGTAAATAGTGGTCACGTCGTTGAGGAATCATCAGAACACATTTCTTTTTACACTTGCACGCGGTGGGGGTTGAGTATATCAAAGTCTTTAATGTAGCGACTTAAATCCTGACCTGTGTAGTCACCCACGCCAAGCTAGGCGTAGAAATTTTATGTCCTCACATGTGTGTGAGCAACCGAATCAGCGTTAACTTTTAATTCGTTTTTTTTCATGGTCACCGGCACACAAATGATTTAACGAGTTCCTGTCTCATGCCAAATACTCTGAATCGATTTCCACCGCCAATTTCCTCCTCTGATTGCGAAGAGTCGCGACTGGGAGGAAGTCTGACTGGAGCTTAATGATTTATGTATTATGGGAGTCTACTGTTGGCTTAACTCATCAAACGTCACTCGTCGCTATTTTCATTGACATTGCTAAAAAGATCAGTAGATGAAATCCATAATTGCCTCCATGACTTACCTTCATACATGAAAAATGGAGGCATTGTTTTCGTTATGTCTGGGGGAGGAGGTAACAGCAACCGAGTGATCAGCACCAAGGACAGGGAGCATAAAGTTTGTACGAAGGGTGGTTAGAAATTGGAACTTGTCTGTTTGGTTGTTAATGAAAAATGGGTTGTTGTTTTTGGTTTCTCCCTCTCCCTCAACCTCTCCCTCCCACTCTCCTTCTCTCTCCCACTCTCCCTTTCTCTCTGTCCTCTTCTCTCTCTCTCTCTCTCTCTCTCTCTCTCTCTCTCTCTCTCTCCCTCTCTCGCAATCCCTTCCTAAAAAGTCATGGCTTCCAGACAACATGGTGAATTAGAAGAACACACAGTTACCATCACACAAGATCTATTTTTTTCACGGAGGTCTGAGATCTCCGAATTCTCGTTTCTAACACTGAAACTTATTCACAGTGATCGATGTCTGGATGGTCTTCAAATTTGAGCCCCCTTTTTATCCTAAGAGTTCTCCAGCATTTGTAGGCTCCACACTCACAGAGGATTAGACATGACATCCAGGAATTAGAACGTTCAATCATCTAACAGTGCGCTCCACACGGATCCCCAGGGCCTTGAGTAAAGGGAAGCGGTGAGAAAGGAAACGTTTTGCCGCCCGGCGCCAAGGACGTCGCCTGGGATTGCAAAATCCTGGCACGTAGAGTCTTAATCTAACCGGGGAAAAGTACTCGAAGCAACTTTCCATTCACAGCAAGTTCCATTAATACTTTGGTCGATGAAGCATGGAGCTCGTTGTAGTACGTTTTA